TCATAAATTCTCAGTCTTGGTTGTGGTGAATATTTGTTCTTTGAACGAATACGCCTTAGGTCATCAATAGACAAAAATAACATAATGACCAATGTCCTATCCACACATTACTCAAAGGGTAAGCGAATACTTAAGTCTGACACTAAAGAAATACAAGGCATTCTGGTATGTCGACTGCTTTGTGCTGACAACAGTACAAAATAGGACCGCCCACAATCTCTCCAGACATCTGGGTTTCACATCTTAGTAGGCAAAGTTTTGTCTTTTCCCCATCCTTCCCACAACAGAACAGTTCTGGCTCTTGTGTCTGAATGGGAGCAAATCCATGTTGGAACGTCTAGTTGAAAGTTTTTCCAGAATAGGAGGAAATACTACCTACTAATGCCCATGTTTTTGAACTCTAAACCCAAATGTGCTTCAACAAGCACACATGGGTGTGGTGTCAATGTGTCCCACATACTTTTGGGCATGAAGTGCATCTTCACCCATGACTACACGTCTCTTGAGTTCTATATTACTGCAGTCATTTGCGACATTGCTTGGCAACTCCAGATAACTAAACTCTGTATCACGTTATTCCTGAAAACTACTTCAGCTCTTCCTTGTTCAAGACATGTTCTGCTCTGTTTTCGCGTCACTCTCACATGTACATATTGTAAGGTCATGCCCACTGATTGCCACATGAATGTATCTAGCATGGTATGAACGGTACAGCTAAATCTCTATTGCACATTATATACCACTTAAAAACAAAAGCATAATGATGTGAAGTCTTTAACTTGTGCTTTAATTCAGTGGCTTGTCTCATTAACTGCTGTGCAGAGTGTTATGTTTGCAGTGATCTCTCAGTATTCATCAGCGTCGGCTCTCAGATTGCTGCTCTCGTCATTATCTTTTAATGAATGCATCCGTCTTTGAATTGTTTGAACTTTTTTGAATGATTTTGTAAGAAGTTTCTTTTGTCATCACACTCTTTCTAGAAGCGAAACCGTGATAGTCAAATTGGTTTTGTATGTGTTATTTCTGGCACTTGATCAGGTTTTTACGAGAGTTTGTCGGAAACGTAAAATATAGGCGGGCATTATGCAAATGTGTTACCCTGTGACGTGTAGCCGTCACTGAAGTGGGATTGGAATTTAGGCGATTCCGAGTCTATTCTTTTTTGAGAGACAATAACTTTATTTACTGTGCACTGTCAGCTTCACAACTTTGCAGATAGTTTACATTTAAAGGCAGCTACATTACACTAAAAAATGCTAATAATGAAAGCTAATATTCAAAAAAAGTGTAATGGGGAATTATTTTAACAGCTTGCTCTTGAAAACTGCAGAGAGGCAGGACAGGAGCACAGCTGTGTAGGAAACATGGGTTTCCCAGATGAGTAGTCACTTATACAGCGTGGTAATAGGTGATAGATTTAATAGTGAGAGATTTATTTTTATATATTTACTCTGAAAATGCTTTTTCAATCCATCATCGGAACCATTCAGTGTGTGTATTTACACCGATCAGCCTCAACGTTAAAACTACTGACAGGTAGGGATGTAACGATTCACTCAACTCGCAATTCGATTCGATTTACGATTTTGCTTTCACGATTCAATTCACGATTTCTTTTACAAAATGAGATTTAAGACCAATTATAAATTAAATGTGTCCTTTTATTATTGCTTGGACAAAATGCTGCACGTTTCTTTGTGAAATTGAAATATAACACTGTAATATTATACTAATTTAGCACTTGTAAATTATTGCTCTTTTGTTGGTTTTGATTGCTTCTATTGTCCTCGTTTGTAAGTCGCTTTGGATAAAAGCATCTGCTAAATAACAAAATGTAAATAACAAAACTAAATAGACATTTTAAAACAAGCCCCAAATCAAATAAATAAGTAACAAATAAAATAAATCTCATCATATAAACAAAATAAGGCTTTGTGCTCTTTCCATTTAAAATTAGAGGCAACCGCTGCATTTTAATCATGATCCAAACAAAGATGCTGCAAATCTGCAACATGAGCAGTTTCTAAATCTAAATTACATTGTATAATTTCGAAATTTGACGCAAAAACAGAGTGGTTTGACTTCAGTTTTGTGAAACTATACATAAATATCTGCATGAAACAGAAACGGCAGACGAGCTGAATGAGACGCAGATTCACTCTCTGCCAGTAGGTGGCGCTTAAAGCGTTTCCGCTGTAAACGAAACGGCGCTGCACTTATGAACTTTAATATGCATTATACAGAGGCAAGATTAAAAAAAAAAATACTATCTAAACATTTCCTAAAGACAGTAAGTTCCCCTCAGACATACATTCATATAAACTTCTACACCTAACTGAATCGCGATTTGAATCGTCACATATTTGACTCAATTTTCAACCGGCTCGCGGTTAATCGTTACATCCCTACTGACAGATGAATAACATTGATTATATCGTTACAATGGCACCTGTCAAGGGGTGGTATATATTAGGCAGCAACTAACACTCAGTTCTCAAATTTCATGTGTTGGAACTGACGACTGGTCAGAGCATCTATAAAACAGCAAGGTTGTGGTACCTGCCAAAAGTGGTGCAAGGAAGGACAACCGGCATCAGGGTCATGGATATACAGTGAGACTGGTATACCACTGCAACCCTGATATAAAGAGTGCGGCGCATCGATGCACTCCATACAAATCGACATCCTCGATGTGTTGTTTCAGCCCTAGATGTGTGCACCAGCACGAGGACTGACACTCACATGATATCCCAGCTGTTAGCAAAGGACATCAATCCAATCAATCCGCATGGACAGTCAAGTTCCACCCTCATTTGAGAAGCCGTTCACTTGCATATGCTGTATGTCACAATAGGAGGAAAATATTTAAGATTCACGCCGACTTTAATGGCCAAATTAAAAGTCAAGTAAAAACACACTTGCTTAATTTGATATTTCCACCAAAAATAATATATAGTGAATAACTGAATATTCGCTATATCGCTTTTCCCTTCACATGAGAGCGGTAGTGGATGGCAGGGCTGCTGTGTTTCAACATCTGCTCTGCTCTGAGCCATGGGCACTTGTGTGTGTGTGTGTGTACATACAGCTCTCCCCCCAGACCAGCGTAGCATTCACACACACTTCCACTGATTAACTCCCACTAGCACAGCCTCTTATTATCTGGGATCTGGCTAAATTAATTTTTTTCTGGTGTAACACCCACCATGTTCAGCCCATAGCACACAATCGTTTCCACTAATAGCTTGTTCATTAGAATATGTGGAGTGTCTGTGCAAACTGCAAAGTTAGCTTGTTTCAAGCAAAAACCTTAAATCCCCGGGATCTGAAGTAGACGCTGGTGTCACCTTCATTATTGAAACACTCACTGACGCACGAAGCGCAAAATTGATTCAGTTGGCAAGCAGACAGAGATAACAGCTTCTCAATTAAACTGTTGCATGTTTAGAGGAGCAATCTAAACGTGTGTGTGTGTGGGGGGGGGATGCCTGGAATTTGTGGGAAAAAGCTTTTCTCTGCTCCAGTGTCAGGCTGTTCTGTTTAACTGCATTTATTATTCATAATTCGTGCAGATGCGTATTTTTCATTTCCCTCTTAGTCTGTTGCGTTTGGCCAGATTTGGACATACAGCTTTAAAATGTTAAAATTACACTAAACCAACAAAAAGAAACCTGATCTGCAGCAGCAAAAACATACATGTTTAATAACTCGCTGCATTTAACCAACTGCTTCAGACACTCTTTACGTATTGTTCTGAAGCTGTATCTGAGAACGACTAATTCAGAAAGTGTCCTTGTAAAGGCTTATGCTATTTCGGACTTGTTTCGAACATCCATGCTGCAGTTCAGAGCCCAGTTTAGGATGCAGAAAATTGCCAGTTGCTTCAGAGAGATTACGCTACGCAGCAGGCAAACTCATCAGCAGGAACGGCACAAAGCTGCATATCTAATCGCATTAATGCCCGCTGCTGGTGCAGCCAACCAATAGAAATAACACGGGGAGTAGCATGATATCGAAAAGGTCAAAGAGATATTTAGACACAATGCAGGTAGAATTAATGCATCACCCGTCTATAATTAAAACTATCAGATTGGCAGAATTGTACAGCGTACATCTGGTCTTATTCGAATCTTACCACATTCCCTATTTTTTTGGGCTGAAATCCCTAATTGACCAACATACCTTGACATGGTGACAGGATATATATATATGACTAAAATGCTGAATGCATTTAATCACATATTCAGATGTATACTTTGTCTTTTTATTGCATTTGCAAAATAGGATTAGAATAGTGATTAGGAATTGATGTGGTATTTTAAAATCATGTATATAAAGTGTTAACCATATCCGTGCTTGCCTGTTAAAGCAGTATCTTGCCTTATGCTAACGATAATCAGTCAATGGGGTCCAATGTATGGACAGACTGTCCCCCCCCAAAATATTATTTTGTTTCATATAAGATAGAAAGTCATACAGGTTTGGAACAACATGAGGGTGAGTAAATAATGGCAGAATTTTCATTTTTGTGTGAACTGTCGCTTTACGTTTGCTGCAGCGAATGCTTTATGATTTCTCTCAGCTTGACGCCGTTTATGAATTTCCTTCACGGCTCCCGCTGAGCTACAGTGAACCAGCGAAGACCGTCTCTCTAACTCTGCAATATAGCTGCACTTCCTCCAGTTTAACATTGCACCTGCACTGATTGATTGGTTTCATTAATGTCTGACCCTCTCAGTAGAGAAGCCCAGTGGCCATTCATAGATTATATGGTGCAATAGCAAGATAATGGTGGTATTAAATTGTAAACGCAGCTAACCCCACAAAGGATTTCAAATAGTTGCAAATAACAGCATTTGAAAGGCTTAGGATAATATTTGGCTGCGTTCCTGTAACTAGCACATCTAGAATGAGATGTATGAAGACATTTGGCCAGGGGTTGTGGTTGCTACTCGGCTGTTGTTGCATCTGTTTTCTAAAGATAAGCTGTCTTTCTCCAGGCCTGATCCCCACCCGAGGGGAGCCGCACAGCAGCCTGACTCACTGCAGGAGCAAGATGAGGAGATCTTGGGTTCAGATGATGAGGAACAAGAGGATCCTAATGATTACTGCAAGGGTAGGAGTCCTGTGATCATAGTACGGGGAGAGATTCATGTGTATAGTGAAAGCATATGCATTGTAAACAGGATCCAGCATTATTTTTTGCCATACTTGGCCATTTGGGCTGAGCAATTATTCAAAATAAAATCGGAATCACTATACGTGGGATTATTAAATTGCAAATGCAGCGATTTAATTTAATATAAGCACTGTGCGTTTCAGAGTGAAGCGCAGCACTTATCTTGTTGCGTGCAAGCAGCTCATGATGCAGTGTTTTCAGCAGCTCAGTTCGTACTCCACACAAACTCCATCTCTGTTTCTGCTGAGTTTGAGTCGCTCATAACGTGCATTTGGGAACATTTCAAAAGATTTGTAATAAGGAGCATTTATAAACCTGTTGCCAACAAATGAGAAACCTGATCCCTGAGTTTTTCTGCCAAAAATAAAAACTTGTTTTGGAAGATATTAAGACAATATTAGTATTATTATAAAGTACGATATTGTTTTTATAAAATTCTAGATTTTATTATATTACAGTGAAATACTTCTGTTGCTACTATTTAATTTAATATTTTAATTTAATAATAATCATTATCATAATACGATTATTACCATTATTTTATAGTCATGCTGATATATAATCACAGTATAATTTATATTGCCAAGACACACACATTAAATCACAGTTGCAATTTTTATCTGAATTTTTTTTTCTCAAATCAAAAAAGAAATAATCCTCAGTCTTAAATAATTTAAAAAACAATATGCATTTGATCAAATCCCAAGTTTAGTTATAATAGATGGTGTGTTTGTTTCTCTGAAAATTAGTTTGATATACAAATGAGTGAACAGATTTTGAATAGTTAATTCGTAACTCTAATTACATTTTTGGGGAGTTGGACCACATTACATTTTACAACATGAATAACCAGGGGTGCGCATACGTTTTTCAGTCTGGTTTTCATGAGAGCGCCTGGAGATTTGGTTTGGTGCTCACACTGCGACCCATTATATATAACTATAAAAAATAAATTAATGGTAGTAGTAATAATAATATTATTGCCCTTGATTTATTTAGTTTTTTATAAAAACAAACAATATGATAAAGTGTGATAATACTATTATATTTTAAAATAAAAATAGTTATTTTATAGTGCACTTAAAAATACAATGCTGATATTTACAATTTCATTGTTCTCTTTTATACCTTTTCATTTTCTGAATGAATTTTCAAACCTTAAATCAGCAAGCTTTTATTTTGGCGGGTTGCCGGCAAGTAAATATATGCACTGCAAGTTTTAGCGTTGCAGTGAAGCTGTGGATGAAATGTCACAGTTTTGCGTTTTGCTCTGAAACCGGCAGCAAATCAGTGGTGTGAACTTATTTGTTTTATTTTGGTGCACCACTTATGTGCACTCCTGTGAATACTCTTCGGAGAATAGTGGTCCTCTCTTCCCTGTTTGACCTTTTTCCCATACATGTTTCTGCCTGTTGGTTGCACCACATGACTTAAAAATATTTTATTTTTATTTTTTTTATACATGAAAGGGTTAGTTCACCCAAAAATGAAAATTACCCTCAAGTCATCCTAGGTGTATATGACTTTCTTCTTTCAGACAAATCCAGTCGGAGTTATATAAAGAATAGTCTTTGATCTTTCAAGCTGTTTAATGCCACTCAGCGGGTGTTGCATGCATCAGTCCAAAAGAAGTTAAATAAAAAGCGCCCATCCATTAAAAAAAAGTGTCTCACACGGCTCCGGGGGTGAAAAAAGGCCTCTTGTAGCGAATCGATGCGTTTTTGTAAGAAAAATTTCCATATTCAAAACGTAATAATCCACTTTAATGTAGCTTGCACCAACAGTCCTACACGGAAGCAGCTCCGGGCGGATGACGTATGAGGTCGGCGTTGCGCACGCTCCGGTGAGTCTCGTGAAAACCAACGTTTGTTAACAGGAGCAAAGGAAGCAAAGTTTCCTTCCTTTAGCAAAGGAAAACCAGTCTCCTCTTGGCTTATATCGAAATCCTCCGACATTCTTCTTTACAAATCCTCGTTATGTACTTCTAATTAGTGACCGTTGCCATCCATAAAAAAAGTGTCTCACACGGCTCCGGGGGGTGAACAAAGGCCTTCTGTAGCGAATCGATGCGTTTTTGTAAGAAAAATATCCATATTCAAAACGTAATAATCACTTTAATGTACACCCCAGAGCCGTGTGAGACACTTTTTTTTATGGATGGGCGCTTTTTATTCAAGTTCTTTTGGACTGATGCATGCAACACCCGCTGAGTGGCATTAAACAGCTTGAAAGATCAAAGACAATTTTTAATATAACTCCGACTGGATTCGTCTGAAAGAAGAAAGTCATATACACCTAGGATGACTTGAGGGTGTGTAATTTATGGGCTAATTTTAATTTTTGGGTGAACTAACCCTTTAAGCCCTTTTATAAGAAACAGTAGTTAAAGATTATGCCAAACTATTCAATAGTGTATTTAAGTCTTTATGTATGAACTTTGTTTTTAATAAATTGTATTTTTGAATAAATGAATACATCTGGACGGTGTTAATTTTGAACCCTGGTTTTAAAATAATTCCAGATGTTTTGTTGCCAAAAACTCTTCTTCTAGGTGGTTATCACCATGTGAAAATAGGCGACCTGTTCAACGGACGTTACCACGTAATCCGCAAGCTGGGATGGGGTCATTTTTCCACTGTTTGGCTTGCTTGGGACATACAGTACGTTCCCTTACCTGTCTGTTTTTTTGTTTGTTTTTTTTCTTCCTGCATTACTATTTATAAATCAAGCATGTGTACTGAGAGGTAATTTATTGTTTTGATTGCAGAGGGAAGCGTTTTGTGGCCATGAAAGTGGTTAAGAGCGCAGAGCACTACACTGAAACAGCACTCGATGAGATCAAGCTCCTGAGAGCGGTGAGTTACCCCGACACCCGCGCTGCCATAGAAACCATTACGATGAATTATTCGCGAGATCATTTAGTGTCAGGTGAATTTGACAGCATGCCACAATGTGGTGGGAAAGTAATGAAAGCCAGGTATATCCACATGCCCCGAGGGAAAGTGGTTTCATCAAATGAAAACACGGTTTATTTTGTTATAAACCAAAGAAAATGGTTTCGAAATGTAGAGCGTCTGTAAAACTGTCCGAGGCCTGAGTTATTTCTTTCCCCATCCCCATCTGGTGGATTCAGGTCAGGAACACAGACCAGAATGATCCCAGCAGGGAGAAAGTGGTGCAGTTATTGGACGACTTCAAGATCTCGGGCGTGAACGGAACCCGTATCCTTTCAGTGAGGCTGTTTATTGTACAGATGGCCTTTCGTTTACTGAGGGATCCACAGGTGTTTTTCTAGTGCACTCCATAGCTTTCAGCTGCCGCTCGATCTCCTACCAGCTCGTAATGAGCTGGAGCTCTTGGCTGGACTTTTGTTCTCCATCATTTCCCTTTAACATGCGCTGTCAGATGTGTGTATGGTGTTTGAAGTTCTCGGCCACCATCTGCTAAAGTGCATTATCAAGTCCAACTACCAGGGCCTGCCGCTGCCATGTGTCAAGAGCATTATTCGACAGGTACTTATTTTCCATTCATTATCATTTGATGTGGTTTACAGCAGGTCAAACAACAATTTTCTCTGCGTAGGTTTTGCAAGGCCTGGACTACCTGCACACCAAGTGTAAGATCATTCACACTGATATAAAGCCAGAGAACATCCTGATGGACGTGAATGAGGCGTATGTCAAGAGACTGGCTGCGGAGGCCACGGAGTGGCAAAAATCTGGAGCTCCTCCCCCTTCTGGATCCGCAGGTGACGGCAAGCCCTCCTCTCAGATCATTGAGATTATTTAGGGATTGTTAACAGATGGGACAAGCATATAATACATCAAAATGAAAGTCTTGAAGCGTAAATGATGGCTAAAGAAGCCTGCAGATGTTTATGTTGTTGTTGTTATTAAAGGAACGGTTCACTCAAAAATGAAAATTAGCTGGAAATGTACTCATCCTCAGGCCATCCAATATTTAGATGAGTTTGTTTCTTCATCAGAACAGATTTGGAGAAATGTAGCATTACATCACTTGCTCACCAATGGATCCTCTGCAGTGAATGGGTGCCGTCAGAATGAGAGTCCAAACAGCTGATAAAAACATCACAATAATCCAAATGCATAAAAAATACTTAAATCACAGTACATATTGAATTAGCAGTTAAATATTGTTGTAATGTCGAATCGGGAGGTCTGTGTTATTTCTCAACCCTAGTAGACAGCTTTATTATCTACAATAGAACTGGCCAGTTATTAAAAATGTTTTCTAGCAGTGTTCATTGGGTTATAATATATTTTGCATTAAATATTTATTAGGGCTGTCAAACAATACTTAAAAAAAAAATCTAATTACACAATGTGGTGTTTAATTATATTAATTGCAAATTAATCACACATCAGATTTGGCTGAGAAACTACCCCCAAAATATAATTTACGGTCATTATTGTGTCAAATGAGAAAAGCATCAAATAGACATTACAAAAAGTAGCTTTAGAAAGAAACATTTGATTTGATTTGCCAATGTATTACACAAAAAATATTTAGGCTACCATGACCATGATTTTTTTTTTTCTTTATCTGAATTGGTATTTATTAGGGCTGTCAAAAAATGTTTAATGTCGAATATTCATCGAATTTAAAATAAAAATCCACATTCGAATGGAAAAACGTTGCATTCGAACTTTAGGTGTACATCAGTCAGGCTTATCAGTGGTGCACGAGATGCAATGACGATGTAAGTGTCATTGCATTTTAATGCTTTTGTTAGCCTATCCAGTTGAACCCACTAGATGCGGCGCTGCTACGTTGTTCATTCAAAATATTGTGGGAAATAAGAACATCAGTGCGGAGATGTTTACGTCAAAACCGAAACCAAACCGTTCACACAGAACGCATATCTATCACATTTTCTAGAGGGGCATCTATCAGCGTTGCACTCTTGAGACACACAAGAGAGCCGCATGTTTAGAAAGCCATGTAAAATGAATGTAAGTTCAACTTCTTAAAAACATGGCTCAAGACTTTATGGCGGTTTTTCCCCACTCTACTGCATCTCAAGTTTTTAAATGAAGAAACTAGTCTTTGTGATTGGTTTTCGGTCCTTTGTATTAAACATGATTCTGTTTTGTTTCTAATTGTTTAAGCAACTTTAATTATATAAGGTTTATAAAAATAATTTTAAACCTTTTTTCAAAGATAGTCGTGTTATTTTATTATGCTTTGAAGAAACGTGCATAATATTTTGTTCGATGCGCCCTCTTGTGGCCTCAGGAGAGAAGCCAAAAGCTTTTTTCCCCCCTAACTGAAATTATGCCTTTTAAATTTGAATATACCGTATTGACCCGAATATAAGACAATGTTTTTTTTCTTGGAAATACATCTGAAAAAACACGGTCGTCTTATATTCAGGGTCTAGACTTTGACATGTCAATAATACACCCACAACAATAGGTGGCGCCAAATACGCATAAAACGAGTGTGCCATGCAATATGTAATGTAATGCGTGACGTAAAAGATCGCAAGTAAAAACGATAGAAAAATAAAACCTTACAGCTGCATGAGTCGTGACTGTCACGTTAGCCTGATGGGACCAAACTCCCTTTGTGATTTTAAAACGTAAGACAGTACCCAGATTGGAAGACTACAGTAAGATTTAACTTCTACTGTTAATAAGATTTTAGTAGGCTACTATTAGGTGGATAGCCTAAATGTCCTAATTCAGATGGGCTACCTGTTTTTTTTTTTTTTTAATGGTATATCAAAAAGTGTATATTTTTTTAAATGTGATTGTTGGTACATTTGGCCAGTTTTTACTATACTTTCAAAACAAAAATTAAAATAGGAAAAATATGCAATATGAAAATAATTGAAGACAAAATGTGTTTTACTGAGAAAAAACAAGATTTGTTTTTTAAAAAGCCTTTTTCCAAAAGGTACATCTGGAAAAAGGTGGGTCGTCTTATAATCAGGGTCGTCTTATATTCGGGCCAATACGGTAATTCAAATATTGATAGTATTTAAGTACAAAATTCTAATTTAGTTTTTAGCCATTTTGACAGCCCTAGTATTTATTTATACAGTGGGTACGGAAAGTATTCAGACCCCCTTAAATTTTTCACTATTTGTTATATTGCAGCCACTTGCTAAAATCATTTGTTAACTTCTACTAAATACTGAGCAAAGGGTCTGAATACTTAGGACCATGTGATATTTCAGTTTTTTTTTTTTAATAAATCTGCAAAAATGTCAACAATTCTGTGTTTTTCTGTCAATATGGGGTGCTGTGTGTACATTAATGAGGAAAAAAAATTAACTTAAATGATTTTAGCAAATGGCTGCAATATAACAGAGTGAAAAATTTAAGGGGGTCTGAATACTTTCCGTACCCACTGTATATTTACAGACAGTTTATTGCAGCTCATTGGTGGCATGAATGTATTTATACCGCAATTACAATTGCATAAATACTGCATAAACATAAATGATAGAATAATTATAGAATATTTATTGTAAATACTACTTAAATAATTAATACAAATATGTAATTTGCTAGAAATCACAAATAACTAGGAATTCATTGATCAAAATCCCTGTATTTAGCATTTAGACTGGGTCAGAGTGTTTATAATTGTTCTGTTGTGTACAGTATTATTTGCTGGTTTATATAGCTGTAACTTCACATCCATTCACCTCTTCTGACACGTCAGCATAGAACATCTCCATTGAGACATTATGCAGAGTGACGTAAAGTCTGCGGGATGTTTCAAAATGGAGAGCAGTGACTCATGTGGTCCTCTGAACAACTGAAGGATGACACATTCTCTGTGCACTGCTTTTGAACTCTGTGCAGCAAGTGAAAAATGATGTTGATAGTGCACAACAAGATGCTGATGTTGTCTTCTCTTTTCATCTTCCTCCATTGCAGTGAGTACAGCTCCGGCCCCAAAACAAGTAAGTGTTCGTCAGAGATGAGTTCTGGGGCATCTTCCATGATGTTTCATCTGTAGCACATTCACATATAAAAATTAATAAATTTTCATAGAAAAGCTAAAAGATTCTCCTCTTCAGATGGGCAAAATGTCCAAGAACAAGAAGAAAAAGATGAAGAAGAAACAGAAGCGTCAGGCTGAGCTCTTGGAGAAGAGGATTCTGGAGATCGAGGGGCTGGAGAAAGGCCCTGAGGGAGGAGAAGAGGAAGAGGAGGATGAAACGGAGACGCCCGACAGCACCCCGTCAGTCCCCGCCAGTCACACACTGCAAGACATCACAGCCGAGGCCACACCGGGTGAGCGAGCATCAGCTAAACGCGGGATTATTAGTACTGTTAGAGCAAGACATCAGTAAGCTATAGAACCGATTAGATTTCAGTTCACAAGCTTCTTCATTGGATTCTGACTTTTATTCACTTTGATTCTGAATCATTTGGGTGTATTTCAGTTACAGTGTGCAAATAAAAGAGATTCTGTTAAGTTAATGCTGCAAATAATTAGGGGTTGCATCGACTAGTCGACTTCAATGCTCTGCCATGACGCTTTAAGCTTGAGGTCGACTAGTCGCTTGTCCTATAGAGGGCGCAACAGGATAAGAAATCTTTGAAGGACTTCCACATTTTACGCTCAGTTTCCAAACAGTTAAAATGACAAATAAATGCATACTCTGAAAGCGCTCCACAAGACATGTGAGATTACATTACTGGATGCTCGAAATTGAACAGGAGGATGCACGTTTTAAACCACTTATTGTACAGGTAGGAAAGTTAATCGCCATTCTAATCTAATGCGCCGCTACACTGTAACGCACACACATTACAGACAGTAGCTCCTACATCTCGCGCAGATCGCGTGCACAGAATCATTCAGCGCGGAAATGTATTGTCAACACTGTTCTGTGATTTCTCAATAAAATTGCTTAGAAACTGAAAAGTTCTAGCGTATATTTCTTAACAACTAAATCCCACTGCTCCACTACTAGTAAAGAGATGCTGCCAGGTAGAATTAATTCAGGCACGCAATCACTCTCATTAATGCATTCATATGAATGCAATCTTTACTGTGCTACTTTATCTGTATCTGATTTAGAACGAGCAGAAATCTGTGAGAAACATAACGACTCAAAGACAAAAGAACTGATAAAAAGGTGCTGTTATAGGAGCAATAGCCGTGTGGGCAGCGCTGGGTCATATGCCATAGCTGTGCACAAGGTGTTTATCACAGCTCCAGACTAATTTGTTCATTAATGACGTCATCAGCGACTAGTTGACTTCGACTCGACTGTCATCACATAAAAGTCGACTTTAAAAAAAATCAGAAGTCGTTCAACCTATACAAAAGATATAGGGAACCTTCTATCTTAGTACATTACAGAGACATTCATTTTTCATTAAACATGAACAACAGGCAGTGCTATTTTAGTATTATCTGTAAATTGTTGTAGTATTTATTAATATTTTGCATATGTTTTTATGTCTCAGATTTTATACTTAGTCTAGTATTCAGTATTTTTTATTTTCGTTAGTTGCCAACATTTCTCATTTTCTAGATTTCTGGTTTAAGTTTGTTTTTCATCTAATATTTATATACTTTTTAAACTTTATTTCAAGAACAAAAATTATTTAGTATCTGCAAATATATAAATTTTTCCATCCATCTGCTTTGTAATATATTACATATTCCATCACTGCAATGCAGTGTAAATAAAATTTGAACACAGGACTAGATGTTGATTTAGAAACCACTGTGATGGATTCAGTCAGTTCATTCAGGGAAGGATTTCTTTCTTAAATATGAATAAATAAATAAATAAATATAGAACATTATTAAATGGAGTAGCTCAAAACAGTCAGTCGTTTGTTTATTGGTTACATTTTCGACTCACTAAACAGAACTGGTTAATAAGAGTGATTTGTTGGTAGATATTTGATAAATCAAGTGCTCCATAGCAACACACCCAGAACACCTTAGCAACAATTAATGCTCTGCATCAATCAACAACATCTTAGTACAGTACCATTAATCATAGGCAAACACCAATTACATTTTCTTATACATTCATTCTAAATCTAAAGCCATTGTTAATGCTATTAGTAATTCTATCATTATTAAATAACACCCAAGGCTTTTTTGTGAGATATCTGTAAAGTAGCAGAATCTCTGCTGCTCTTCTTTGAGTCTAGCCACATCCCAGTCGTTTTAAAAAAGTCATGCTTCCAGCTGCTGTCTTCATCAATTATGGTGCTGCAGCTTTTGAGAGATGCTCGAAATTGAACAGGAGAATGCACGTTTTAAACCGCTTATTGTACAGGTAGGAAAGTTAATCGCCATTCTAATCTAATGCGCCGCTACACTGTAACGCACACACATTACAGACAGTAGCTCCTACATCTCGCGCAGATCGCGTGCACAGAATCATTCAGCGCGGAAATGTATTGTCAACACTGTTCTGTGATTTCTCAATAAAATTGCTTAGAAACTGAAAAGTTCTAGCGTATATTTCTTAACAACTAAATCCCACTGCTCCACTACTAGTAAAGAGATGCTGCCAGGTAGAATTAATTCAGGCACGCAATCACTCTCATTAATGCATTCATATGAATGCAATCTTTACTGTGCTACTTTATCTGTATCTGATTTAGAACGAGCAGAAATCTGTGAGAAACATAACGACTCAAAGACAAAAGAACTGATAAAAAGGTGCTGTTATAGGAGCAATAGCCGTGTGGGCAGCGCTGGGTCATATGCCATAGCTGTGCACAAGGTGTTTATCACAGCTCCAGACTAATTTGTTCATTAATGACGTCATCAGCGACTAGTTGACTTCGACTCGACTGTCATCACATAAAAGTCGACTTTAAAAAAAATCAGAAGTCGTTCAACCTATACAAAAGATATAGGGAACCTTCTATCTTAGTACATTACAGAGACATTCATTTTTCATTAAACATGAACAACAGGCAGTGCTATTTTAGTATTATCTGTAAATTGTTGTAGTATTTATTAATATTTTGCATATGTTTTTATGTCTCAGATTTTATACTTAGTCTAGTATTCAGTATTTTTTATTTTCGTTAGTTGCCAACATTTCTCATTTTCTAGATTTCTGGTTTAAGTTTGTTTTTCATCTAATATTTATATACTTTTTAAACTTTATTTCAAGAACAAAAATTATTTAGTATCTGCAAATATATAAATTTTTCCATCCATCTGCTTTGTAATATATTACATATTCCATCACTGCAATGCAGTGTAAATAAAATTTGAACACAGGACTAGATGTTGATTTAGAAACCACTGTGATGGATTCAGTCAGTTCATTCAGGGAAGGATTTCTTTCTTAAATATGAATAAATAAATAAATAAATATAGAACATTATTAAATGGAGTAGCTCAAAACAGTCAGTCGTTTGTTTATTGGTTACATTTTCGACTCACTAAACAGAACTGGTTAATAAGAGTGATTTGTTGGTAGATATTTGATAAATCAAGTGCTCCATAGCAACACACCCAGAACACCTTAGCAACAATTAATGCTCTGCATCAATCAACAACATCTTAGTACAGTACCATTAATCATAGGCAAACACCAATTACATTTTCTTATACATTCATTCTAAATCTAAAGCCATTGTTAATGCTATTAGTAATTCTATCATTATTAAATAACACCCAAGGCTTTTTTGTGAGATATCTGTAAAGTAGCAGAATCTCTGCTGCTCTTCTTTGAGTCTAGCCACATCCCAGTCGTTTTAAAAAAGTCATGCTTCCAGCTGCTGTCTTCATCAATTATGGTGCTGCAGCTTTTGAGAGTCAGAGTACTGCATCATGACACATCAGTGTTTTTACTCTGAGACTGTGTTGAAATCAACTTTTTTCCACCCCAGGTGGCGTCTCAGATGATTGGTCTCAGCACAGAGGCGCCATCAACGGTCACAGCCAGGGCCCCGAGGAAGAGCAGACCCTGGACCTCCAGCAGCAGATCAAGGACGAGACCCCCGTGAACCCCTACGACAGCGGCACCGAGGGCTCAGAGCCTACTAACCCTTACCCAGCATGCAACGGCACCGTAGAGAAAGAGCCCAGTCCTCCATCCCCTGTCACCACAGACGGTAATGGACCTTTGATTTGTGGCATGGTTGAGTCACAGTGCCCTAGGGTGCAGGATCAAGAGAGCCCCACGGCGGAGCTGAACGGCTCCGGTTCTGTTGAGGGCCCCAAAGCGGAGATGGGCCTCACCATGGAGGTGGACCCCAGCGCGCAGGCGGCCACAGAGGAGGAGAGCCTGAAGGACGGTCAGTGCGGAGCCCTTGCTGGAGGAACGCCCCTCTGTTTGCTCCTTACTAACTCCCCTCCCTCCTTTCTCTCGCTCTCCGTCTGTGTGTTATCCTGCAGAGTCTAACACTGAACTGAAATCACTAACAGCCCGATTTTGTGGTGTTGAATAATGTAGCAGTATTTAACCAGGAAAGGGACAGTTCACATAAAACTTGAATTCGATGAAACTATAAAATTATACAGTTGCAGAGTTCCTATAGTCATACCAGGCAAAGAAATGAATGCGTCTTATGAATAAAAAAATTATGAATAAAAACATTTTCAATTATGTGCATGAAAAAAATGCTTGAGGCAAATTGGTATATACAGTATTTACAGATAGTAACTGTAATAGGAATGAAATAATATAATATTATAATATACATTGTATTAATTTTTAAAATATTTTTTGAATAATTATAATCTAAGATAAACATTTTATTATTTAAATAAACAAAAGAGGTTATCATCAAAGTAAATAATAGTTCTTCATTAGTTGCAGCATTACAATACTAAATTCTTAAAAGGGCATATGGAAAAGTCAAGGTCATTTTAATGAAATGATGCATCTAAAAAATTCTGAAATATTTTAACAGCTGAATAAATTGCTCAATGTGAATGCAATCTCTTTTTTTTAATCTTTTTTTAAATCATTAATTTATTCATTACACATAAAAAAAGGAAGGATAAAATTCATGTAAATGCAGTGGTAGATGGAATGGGGTGGGAACCCTGAATAAAATGAGCATGCTAGCTCTAGATTTTTTCAGGGAACTGTTCCTTTCTGTATCTGTTATGGTGACATCCATTCACATCAAACTGAAGTTATATTTATCATAGTTACCCTTAACTAACTAATGCTTGTAATTAATTGTTTCATTGAAAAAGTATTTCTTACTGCTGTTGTCTTAGTCTTACAGTCAACATGAAATCGTCCTCTCACATTCTTAACATAATTATTGTGCATTATTATTCGTCAGTGCAAGTTATTCCAAAAAATCTGTTTATCTTTATTATCTTTCATCAAAATGCTATATTTAATGTCTTCCACCTTTGAAAATAGTTTCTGATGTCAACAGTCTGTCTTATGTTGTCATTTCCCATTTAACTTGGAAAGTGGTCATTTCCAACTTCCTCCTCGGAAAAGTTTGTCAGAATGCCACTTGAAGTCCAACTTCCCATTTATAGACTTGTGTGGAAATCCACAACAGAGAGATCTATGACTTCACATGCACATGTCGGCACACAGTTAATGACAATAAAGAGTTTTAAACGGATAAAAAGTTCAGAAGTGCATCACATTGTGCAAGAATTGGGTGTCGATTGCGGTTTCATGTTGACTTGAATTCCCACTGGTTTGTTTTCCTTGTTACAGGATTGCCTATTTCATATTTCACGCAGTTACATCAATAAGACAAGCGGTTAATGACAGATGTTCACCTGCTACCAGCGTTCTAGTGTCTTCATTTTGATGCTCTGATTTTCCATGGCTGGTATTGATTAATAGAGAGCTGCTGTATTAGACTCAACATCCTACAGGGCTTTAGAATTCAGCAAATACACAGTGCCTCACAGGAGCCAATCCAGAATCCAGTGTTGTTGATTCTAAAACTGTCTTTTTCATTCCTCTCTTGTACTGCAGCTAAAATTGCAGAAGGAAACCTGCTAGTCAACCCTCTGGATCCGCTAAACGCTGATAAGATCCGAGTAAAAATCGCTGACCTGGGCAACGCCTGCTGGGTGGTAAGTCTGGGGTTTTCCTTGCATTTACACCAAAAACAGCTCAGTCAGAATGTTAAAGGGATAATCCTCTCCTCATTTACAGCCATTTGTTGATTAACTGATTGATTGAGGTTCTGATATCCTCATGGGTATTAATGCCTCTCCTCTCTCAGCGGTTGATTCTTCTTTATGTAACTGTTGTTTGTCATCAGCACAAGCATTTCACAGACGACATTCAGACGCGGCAGTATCGCTCTCTGGAGGTGTTGATTGGATCAGGATACAGCACCCCAGCTGACATCTGGAGCACAGCTTGCATGGTACGTTTAAAGACCGCTAACTGAGATCTGATACAAATTTCTTTTTGTATTTGCACAAACTTTTATTTAGAGCCTAAATGTATTTTTTAATATATGCAGGGTTTCCGCGGGTCCTTAAAGTCTTCAATTTAGTTGAATCAAATTTAAGGCCATAAAAAGTCTTAAATGGTACAAGAAAGTCTTAATTATGGTTTCAGGAGGTCTTAAATTTGGGGACGGTAAGACAAAAATTGCGATATAACTTAATGTGACGATTAAACTTCAAAAGGCTGCAAATTCATTGAATAAATATGAGCGCTGCATGTTTTATAAAGTCAGCTGAAGCGCTGCTTTGTGTACAGCCGCTACCGAGGAAACCACTGTATTTCTGCTGCTCCAAAAGCGCCACCTACTGGCAGAGAATGAATTAGCATTTTCAATCAGCCCGTCTGCTGTTTTTGTTCAGACCGATGTGCAAATCAACCCATGTTTTTATGCTGCAAACACGCAGAGTTGTAAATGTGAACTGGTGGATCGACAAGAAGATAATGCATTATAAAAATCTAAAGAAGACAGTAAAATATATTTAGATGTTAATTAATATAATAATTGATTGATCATTGTTTAAATTAATATAACGGATACTTTTGACTCATCCATTTTCTTAAAAATGGTTTAAAGGCTGAAATGTGAAGTTTATCATTTTATAAAACTTTTTGTTTTTGTGAAACCTGTACCTGAACAGTAAATCATGCTTTTTACAGTCATTTTACAGTTTAATATATTAACAGACTTTTCCCTACCTCGCTCATATGGTATTAATTTTATTTTTTGTCTTAAAAAGAGCTTAAAAATCCTGCAGATACCCTGAATAGGGAATAAATCTCCACTTGTGAAGTGTGCAGTTCCAAAACATCAAAGTTTCATATCAGCAGCTCTGTTGCAAAAATCCAGTGGGCTGAGTTTTGTGTTAGCATGCTGCTAAAATAATGACTCGATACTCAAATATGATTCCAGTAGTTTTATTTTTGCATGTTGCTAAAGTAATGACTCAACACTCAAATTTCATTCCAGTAGCTTTGCATTAACATGCTGCTAAAGTAATGATTCAATATGCAAATTTGATTCCAGTAGAGTTTTGTTAACATGTTGACAAGGTAATGAATATAAATTTGATTCCAATAGTTTTGTGTTAGCATTTTGTTGAATTAATGTCTTGACATTAAAATTTCACTGCAGTATTTTTATATTAGCATGTTGTTAAGGATATGACTGCTTTTTTGCATTATTTTGGACACCCATGGTGCCTTGTAATGCTGTCTAGGGCAGCAGCTCAACAGTTTTTGGAACAGAGCTAATGTCTAGTCAAGCTGGAGTCAGAGGTCTTAGAGGAAGGTGACTCGATGACTGACTTCTGCTCTCCGAGCGTTTCATCGAGCGCTGCTGACGCCGGTCCCGTGGCATTTGTCCTGCTCCGCAGTGCACAGACTCTGCACCTTTTTTTAAGCAGTAGGGCCAGACCCACCAAGAGAGGTTAAACTCAGTCTGAATCAGCATTTCAAACCCACTGCGTAACAATAGAGTCTCGCGAGCTGCACTCACTGTGTGCTGGCTTCAGTCCGAGCAGGGCTGAGAAGGTTGGTTTGGCCTTTCAGACATTAGCCTACCACCTAGAGAATTTGATACTAGGATTGCTATCTCCACACACACACACGCATGCGTTCTCAAAGTGTGTCTCTCCCTAGGCATTTGAGCTGGCAACAGGCGATTACCTGTTTGAGCCTCACTCCGGAGAGGATTATTCCAGAGATGAAGGTAATTTTTCTTCCACAGGTTTGGAATTCAGCCCACATGACTTCTGCAGACCCGCAGCCAATCAAAAGCTCCAGCACATAAACTAACAGTCGCATCTGGAGAACAAATCACAGCGTGCCTATTAATTAGCACTTGAACGAGAGCCATTTCTAGTGTCATAATGACGCCCGATGCATCCATTTCTCAAACGCAGTGTAATATTTGCGCTGTCATTATGGAGGTGGCACTGGGGAGTGAATGGCCAGAGAGGTTTCGGCCTCTGAGCTGTTTTAGAAAAGCCATGTTATAGTCTCCTGAAATCTTGAAACATGGCAGTTTTTGCGTTGCTGATTGTCACAGTATTCCTGCAGTGCTGAAATATACAATATAGTAACTAGGGATGCAGAATATATCAATACTACATTAGCTTTTTTTAATTTAACGGGTTTTTTTGTGCATGTTGTTTCATTTTTACAGTCAGATTACATTTGCCATCACTAACTTTATCGCATCTATTCACGTCTTTGCATTGACTTTGTATGTAACCTATTCGCGCAAACAATTAAATTCGCTTGTGGTGTGCACACACCATTAGGGTTCATCTTTAAAATCACTAATTTTATCTTGAACAAATATTGAAACGAATAGAAATTTTTCATATTGTACATTAAAATGTTGATACTTTTTGTTTTTGAAAGGATTGATTTTATTTTTTAATTATACAAAATAATACAGAATTTTAATGAGCAATTTACCGTTTTTTAGCTATAACCAAATTCGTTTTTAAAATAAATTAATATCGGCAACAATTTTTAATAGCACAGCCCTAATAGTAACAGGTAAATAATCCATTTTTATCTTATAAAATTAATAGTTTTTTATACTTTTAAAAATATGTTTTTATAAAATGTTCTATGCTGTATATTTTATTACATAGTTATTGTTTAAGCAGTAATGCACTAGTTTTTGTGAAAGGTCCTGTAGTAATCAGTAAATTGAAAAATGATATTGTTTGGTGCATATTTCAAAATATGTGCATATTTCAAAAGTCATATTAAAAAAAAAAAAAAGCCTATTCTAATTCAAGGACAAACATGAATTGGCAGGACAACACATGGCAATTTTAGCACATCCATTCATGTAAAGTTTTAAAAGTTCCATCTATAACTTAAATGTAAATGTCAGAAGCTTTATCTCGAGCCTTTTTTCTACTGCAAACAGATCACATCGCGCTGATCATCGAGCTGCTGGGGAAGATTCCTCGTAAACTCATCACGAACGGCAAATATTCCAAGGAATTTTTCACCAAGAAAGGTACATCTGTCAATAGACACTTGATACATGAGCGATTGCTTAACTAATGTGTTTCACTTACTTCATAAACTTGCTGGCAGTGTTCAGTAGCTTTGTGTGAATGTCACAGTTTGATTGATGGGGTATGTCTGCACTCCCATTATTAGTATAGCTATACATTTTTTAGTATGTGCGTAAATGTGTAGTCCATATAGCCGCTCTTATTTCTGTTTTAAAACTGATAGTTCCAGTTCTAACTTCTGATTGGATGTGGATGTGTCCATGTATTTATTTGTGCGCTAGGGGACCTAAGGCACATAACCAAGCTGAAGCCGTGGGGTTTGCAGGACGTGCTGGCCGAAAAGTATGAATGGCCCCGAGAGGAAGCCCAGAATTTCTCAGACTTCCTCCTCCCGATGTTGGACCTCATCCCAGAGAAAAGAGCCACGGCTGCCGAGTGCCTCCGTCATTCCTGGATCACCTCCTAGTGGCCAAAAAGCTCCAAACACACACACACACACTTCTCTGAACTCATGAATGCTCCCCACTGGCAGACGCGGTCTTAAGAGCCGTGCCTGGTGTCATGGCAGATATTAGCCGCGAGTACAAGAAGATCCAGTTCTCAAATTGTTGTTGCTTTTTTATGTAATTGGTATAATTTGTGTACTGTCATTACAGTGGTTTGTGCTCTTGCTAATTTATCTAACAGCCACTTCTCTTATCGATTTCTGTCATATCACAGGATGGTTTGACACATCAGAATTGATTTATCTTCTTAAGAGATTCGACTTTGTTCCACTTCTCTCTGTTTTCTTAAAAGCGTAGTGTTGCAGTAAGTCGGACTCAGTAGCTGATTGTGGTGTTTTTTTCACTGTATTAAAAAAAGAGATTGTTAATCACAGCTTCCTTCAAACTGTTTTCCATATCTTCACAAGGGGTTTTACATCAGCTGTCTGAATGAAGGGAACATGAATGGACATTTTTGAAGTTATAAGAGTGTTTCAGAAGTCTTCATATTGAATGTGAGCTACTATACAGTGTAAGAGAAACACACATATATTTTTACCACAAAGGGCAAAAAGAACTCAAAGTAGAGAAATGCTAACCCTTCATGTGTCACAAAATCCATAAAGGACTATCATGTTTTTTTTGTTTGTTTGTTTTTTTTAAGTAATGACGTTTAACATGTGAATGCCAGGGAATAGTTTTGGTATCAAGGTCTATTTCTGTTACAAAATCTGTGAAAACATTCGACATTATGTACATACTCGTACCAAAGAGTTGGTTCTTCACACAATCAGTGCTGTACAGACTTAAGTCCCATCATTGTGTACAGTTTTGCTATGAATGAATGGCTTAAGGAAAATGTTTGAGAATCACTGATTTAGAGATGCCTTGAAATGAATCTGCAATGATCTGTGCGTCTTTCTGAGCTTTTTTTTTTCCCTACAGTGTTGATTCAAACAATATCCCAGCTTGACTTTGAAGGGCCTTTTGCTTTCTCTTCTGGATGAGGCGATTTCATGTGACCTTTTACAGCATCACAAATATCATCTGCTGTCTCCTTTTTCATGAATGTCTCTGCTGTTGATTGTCCAGCATTGGACTAAAATTGTTTCTGTAGTAACTTCAAATAAAGATTTGAAATGGCAAAAGGCTTTTGTAGTTTGGATTAACTTTTTGGTTCTGATTCATAATGCAAGCTATGAGCGTATCCGGTTTAATTTTGGAATGAATTTCTTATGTTTATTTCAATTCGTCAACATTGTTTCGAAAGCAGCCATCACCAGACTTTAAGCATGTTAAATTCCTTTGGACACCACAACAGTTGTGAGACTGTCACATTATGTGGCGTCTTTTTTAAAAACATAACTCCAAAATGTAAAAAATATACAATTTACTCTAACTTCCTGCAACACTGCAGATTTAAAGTTTGTGCATAAGATTCCTGTTGAAAAAAACAGCATATGCTGGTTAGGTATGTTTTGATGCTGGTTTAAGCTGGTCCTTTGCTGGTTTATGCTGGTCCTTTTGCTGGTTTATGCTGGTCATGTGCTGGCAAAGGACCAGCATAAACCAGCAAAGGACCAGTCTAAACCAGCAAAGGACCAGCATAAACCAGCAAAGGACCAGTCTAAACCAGCAAAGGACCAGCATACCAGCATAAACCAGCAAAGGACCAGCTTAAACCAGCAAAGGACCAGCTTAAACCAGCAAAAGGACCAGTCTAAACCAGCAAAGGACCAGCTTAAACCAGCAAAGGACCAGTCTAAACCAGCAAAGGACCAGCTTAAACCAGCAAAGGACCAGCATAAACCAGCAAAGGACCAGCATAAACCAGCAAAGGACCAGCATAAACCAGCAAAGGACCAGTTTAAACCAGCAAAGGACCAGCTTAAACCAGCATCCCAGCGTCAAAACATACCTAACCAGCATATGCTGGGTTTTTCAACAGGTTATGCGGCAACAGGTCCTCACGTGATATGAATTCACAGGTCAGAATTGTCCAAACTTCAGATTTGGAATGCAGTAAAATGCTAAACTTCTTTGCATGAGCTTGTATATGAATGAAAGTTAATGGAACAGGAACTGCAGTGTAACCACCTCTTTAATGATGTAACTAGCAGAAAGAGCCACTGAACAAATCAGGTAACAAATCTGAATCTTTTAAGCAAACATTTAAAATATTCGAGTCCCTGACTGGTATGAATGAAAGTCCCCACTACAGGGTGGAGCAGGATTTTGGACCAATGAGATTCACTGTGGGTGGGGCTAGTCGATGTGACTTCATATGAATAGTGTTTAGTTCAGATTTCATATGCTGGGTTTTTCAACAGGTTATGCGGCAACAGGTCCTCACGTGATATGAATTCACAGGTCAGAATTGTCCAAACTTCAGATTTGGAATGCAGTAAAATGCTAAACTTCTTTGCATGAGCTTGTATATGAATGAAAGTTAATGGAACAGGAACTGCAGTGTAACCACCTCTTTAATGATGTAACTAGCAGAAAGAGCCACTGAACAAATCAGGTAACAAATCTGAATCTTTTAAGCAAACATTTAAAATATTCGAGTCCCTGACTGGTATGAATGAAAGTCCCCACTACAGGGTGGAGCAGGATTTTGGACCAATGAGATTCACTGTGGGTGGGGCTAGTCGATGTGACTTCATATGAATAGAAATCAGTTTAGTTCAGATTTCATTTTTTTTAACACTCAATTTGACTTTGGTCTCAAAATATAAAACTGCTGTAAATATATATTAGAAATACTGCCTGAAGTAGCCTCAAAGGTGGCAATTACTTACTATAGAAACATATTAAATAATTATTTTTCTTCATATTTCCTTCAGATAGCCAGAAAGTAGCCTGTAAACCCACAGGGTCCAATGAGCCTGATGATGTGCAGGGTCTTCATGCTTCCTCTAAGGACAAAAAAAGAACTATATTAGTTTCTCAATAACTTTCACAGCATTGCATGAGGATTATGAGAACAGGAATCGCATGATTAATAGTGTTTTGCTGTGTTCTTGCAAGTGACAATGTGAAAGGCACACATTAATGCACACAAATCTATCACAGCTAATAGAATTCATTTGACTAGCGCTAGCATTTTACTAGAGAGCACAAAAGGAATCCTGTCTCTCTGGGCATTGTTATTTTTACACAGCAGAAGATACATGAGCTTTTTCCTTCAAAAAGAAGCAACTTTACACCGCCATGAGAGACCTGCTTCAGTTTGATCAGAGATCAAATGCTGAAGACTAGAACACGGGTGCTGTAAAAAGAAACAAAACACCATCTGCCTGTCTTTTCTATAATATATTGAGGAATAATTCACCAAACAAAATAAATTTGTCATTGCTATTTTAAAACCGTATGACTGTTTTTCCTCTAAAAGTTTATGGTAACCAGTGCTGGGTAGTAACTGGTTTTATGTAATCTGATTCCACAAATTAAGTACTTGTAATTAGATTACATTACATGTTAAAATGCTCATAACCAGATTACATTAACACATTACATTTGTCGCCATCTCTGTTTGAATCCTGCAATTGCAGTTATTTGCAGATTCTTCTTTACGTGGGTTGTGCATCGGCTCCTCAGCGCAGATGAATCTAATGTTTTGAGGAGTATGTGTGGCTGTCAGTCACCGCACCGGTGTGGATATTCACTGTACTGCGGAATCACAGATACTACGTATACTACTTATTTTTCTATTCATTCTATCTATCTATCTATCTATCTATCTATCTATCTATCTATCTATCTATCTATCTATCTGTCTGTCTGTCTGTCTGTCTATCTATCTATCTATCTATCTATCTATCTATCTATCTATCTATCTATCTATCTATCTATCTATCTATCTATCTATCTATCTATCTATCTATCTATCTATCGTTCATTAACATTAATTTGTGCGCAGCCTACATTACAAACTGTCCTGTTTAATGCAATTGGTCAACTCGCTGTTGTTTTGAGCAAATGAATTGCATTCCCACTGAAAAACAAGCGTTCTAGCGTGAAAACGTTGCCTATAAACAGTGTTGCTTGCTTAGTAGTCTCAGCCTCAGACGTCACACCCACGGACCGTTGGCTGAACGTCTGATGCATACGGCACACAAAATTGGAAACACTTAAGGCAGGGGTGCCCAAACTGGGTCCTGGAGGGCCGGTGTCCTGCAGAGTTTAGTTCCAACCCCAATTAAACACACCTGAACCAGCTAATCAAGCACTTATAGGCATACTAGAAACTTACCAGCAGGTGTGTTGAGGCAAGATGGAGCTAAACTCTGCAGGACACCGGCCCTCCAGGACCGAGTTTGGACACCCCTGATTTAAGGAGTTTTGAAGTCGTCATCGGATTGGTTGAATTATACAGGATTTCCGGGAGTCGTGTGTGTCGCGTTCTTTAACGTTCCGCCTGGAAACAAAGGTGCCGTGACGTCAAACCCCCTCATGTTAGAAGAAAGCCGTCGTGTTTACAACTGTGAGGCTGAACGTCTGATGCATACGGCACACAAAATTGGAAACACTTAAGGCAGGGGTGCCCAAACTGGGTCCTGGAGGGCCGGTGTCCTGCAGAGTTTAGTTCCAACCCCAATTAAACACACCTGAACCAGCTAATCAAGCACTTATAGGCATACTAGAAACTTACCAGCAGGTGTGTTGAGGCAAGATGGAGCTAAACTCTGCAGGACACCGGCCCTCCAGGACCGAGTTTGGACACCCCTGATTTAAGGAGTTTTGAAGTCGTCATCGGATTGGTTGAATTATACAGGATTTCCGGGAGTCGTGCGTGTCGCGTTCTTTAACGTTCTGCCTGGAAACAAAGGTGCCGTGACGCCAAACCCCCTCACGTTAGAAGAAAGCCGTCGTGTTTACAACTGTGATAATGAGTGCTTATCGGGATCAACTAAACACTGGATTTTCGAAAGTATGTGAAATATTTAAAGTTCGCGGCATAGAATCTTTAAAATACATCCAAGAGTTTTACACACGGTATGCTATTGTGGGGACATTTCCACGCCCCTAAACATGACGCGGCACAAAACGAAATGTGATTGGTTGCTTTAACTGTCAGTCGTATAGCCTCTTGGGCGGTTCTTGCCATTCAAACCGGCCAAGGTTCCCAGACCTTCTGCCATCAGTCTGAAGGTCTGGCTACGCGAGACTACTTGCTTGGGAACTAATGTCAAGCTTACGTGACTCTGTTCTCTGGAATCCTGTCAAGCAGAGGACTTCTATATTCCGATTGGTTGCTGCTGTACCACGTCATACCTCATTACCATAAAGTTGACCTGACTTCAACTCTACTCGATGCCCACACCGTCCAAGACGTGCTGCAGCAGGCCCACATTGAAAATGAATGACTTCCGGCCACTTTGACGCTCACGCTGGCGGCGGTGTGAGCGCACAGTAAGTAGTCAGAATACATTACCTAAAATGTGTAATGTAATAGATGACGCGACTAATTACAATTTTCGTCATGTAGTTTGTAATCAGTAATGGACTACAATTTGCACGTAATCTAGCCAGTACAGAAAGTACCTTTTTTCTCCTCCACCTGGAAGTCTTCTGGCAGCAGTTTGTCTTGCCGGTTACCCAGTACAAATGCCAGGAAGGATAATGTGAGCGAGTCCATGATGCTGATGATGGCCAGGATATACGCCCAGCGCACTGTGCAGTTACCCAGCGTGTATTTATCTGTCCGCTGACCACACATCCTCTTCACCTCCTCTGAGTCCCAGCCGTCTGGATAGATCATACAGCCTATGACCATACAAGTTGCTGAAGATGAGAAGAAGAAAAAAAAAGTCAGATAAAGATGACATGAAAATGATACATTTTTGTGGTTTCTTAAAGCATTTTGTGTTTTATAATTGCTCTGATTAAATTTAGCTGACAATCCATTAAACAGAAATGGCCTAAAGTTCATATAACAGTTCCAGTCCTTGTATTTGATTGGCTGAGCTGCGTTCAGCGCTACTCACTCAAGTCACCTTTATTTCTATAGTGCTTTATACAATACAGATTGTTTCAAAGGAGCTTCATAGCAATAAACAGGAAAATGTCAGAATTACAAAAATTACAAAAAAAAATTCAGAATTACAAAATTACAAAAAAAACATTTGTTGTTATTTTGAAGTTT